GTGTAAACAACTGTTAGAGGTCAGAGGCCTTTATAATTACAGTGGAGGTGGATGTATAGATGTGGTAAAGAATTGAATTAAACCCAATGGCTTCTGTCTGTTTAAAAATCCTTTGTTACAAATATTGAATCTACTTCAACAGGAAGTAATTACAACAACAACAACACAAAAGCTTTTGCATTGTTTATTCACCGTGACTTCATTAGACCAAATAAAATTATTATATTAAATTAGTGAAAACATTAACAGATAATTAGACAGTAGTTATCAGGTATGTCCCAGGCAAAGTGAAATGTTGAGACAGAAGAATCGTGTTCGAAATAAATAAAACATTGATGAATGTAGTATTTATTTTCATTATGTTTTAATCAGATTTAATATAAATAGTCATAATTACTTGTACTGTAAAATGCTATGTTCCTATAAAATAATACCAAGTAATAGTTATCAATTTCTGTTTGTACACAGACATGATTTAACTCAAAGAGCATATGTCAGTCTCACTGTCTGTGCCCAAAGTGTTTGACCTCAGCTGTCCCAGTAATATACTCATTTCTAATGGTGTCCCTGTTGGTCATTCTTAATAAGAATCTTAGGATATTTAACCGTGTTACCTCCAGCTTTTAGGGCAGAGATTACTTAACACAGAGCTGTAACTCTTAAAATGCTCCTCCTTTTTAAATTAAACTTCACAGTTAGGAAAGAAATAACAAACAACAGAAAATCAAAACAAACTTCTTGTGTTGTTAAAATCTGCCTCGTCCACCTTCCTTTTGTTTTCTGTCCACATTAACTCACTTAGAGAGACAAACTCTCACTTCTTATTTTTCTTATCACAGTGTGTGTCAGTGAATCCATCGTGTGTGCTTCACGGCTCCACCTAGTGGACTGATGGTAGATGGTAAATGGCCTGTATTTGTATAGCACTTTACTCAGTCCTTAAGGACCCCAAAGCGTTATACACTACATTCAGTCATTCACCCATTCACACACCCATTCACACACGCATTCACACACTGGCAATGGCAAGCTACGTTGTAGCCACAGCTGCCCTGGGGCGCACTGACAGAGGCGCTGACTGAAAGAGGATGGTAGAGCAGCTGATGGCAGTGTCCTCTGCCTCACACTGCTGTCTGACTGCATTCAGCTGACACTGAGATGAAGCAGGAAAGAAGCAGCTGATATTTGGA